AGTTTCAAAACTTGACATCACGCCCAACACACTAACTATGCTCTATCACGTTACAAAATTTAAGATTATAACACAAGCCAGAATATAAATCGGGACCGGATGATCTAAAGGAATAAAAAAACATATAGTAACGCATGATCGCACCGGCAACCCTGGTGTGCGCTACAGCTATGTCGCATTTGAGCAAAGATGCAAAAACTCATAATAAAAAACGTAAGCGCGAGAAATATACTATAACAACACACCGGTCCTACTCACCGGGGAAATCAAAATTAAGAAGATTCGTGGAAAACGATGCTAAAAGTTGTGTTTTGTTGTGTTTATCCAGAAGATCTGAAGCAGCAGAAAGTTACCCAGACATCCCTTTTACTATGACTATAGTAACTGAATCAGCTGTAGTCTGGTTCTCCAACTGTGTAGCTGAGCGCCTCATCAAGGCTTGTATCGTACATCCCTCAGTCTGTCAATACGTTGTTTTTTTTTTTCTTTTCTGAAATGGCTGTCAGAAACTAAAACCTATTTTATTACACATTTTGAGTTCTGGCTTCGACCTCCTTCCCCCGTCCCCTTCCCAATTTCGTAACTGCACTAAGCATTTGCCAGCAAGACTGCCCCGGCCGTGAAAGAGAATACTGCTGCGAAGTACCAATTTTTATGCGTTTTGTGCTGTGTAACAGCAGTACAAACCACATATTGTCACAGGGTTGTCTGTGTGTGTGTGTGTGTGTCCCATGTTTTGTCCCGCACTCTCAACTCGCGAACCACAAAAGCTAGGTGACTGGAATTTTAGTATATTGTTCCTCGCCAACGTATGAAGCGGCAAATTTAAATTCAGCCTTCCCATACCCACGGGTAACACGTACGGCCCCGTAAAAGTTTTTTTCGGATAAAATTATTATCACGGGAACCACGTAAGCTAGAAGGCTGAAATTTTGTGGGCATGTCCCCTGCTCATGTGCTATCCAGAAATTTTAAATTCAGCTTTCCCCTGTCCGTGGTTAAAATGTACAGTCCAGTGAAAATTTTTGACGGGTAAATTATTATCTCGGGAACCACAGAGTTTAGAAAGCTGTAATTTTAGATCATGACCCCCTGCCCATGCTCAACCTTGTCTAGACAAATTCAGCGTTCCCGCGCTCTCGGGTTCCACCTACGGGCTAATGAAAGTTTTCGCGGGCAAATTATTATCTCGGGAACCACAAAGTCTTCGAAGCTGAAATTTTAGGGTTGTGATCCCTTTACCCACGAACGATCCTGCAAGTAAATATTCAGCGTTCCCGCACTCTCGGATATCATCTACGGGCTAGTGAAAGTTTCTACGAGTAAATTATTATCTCGTGAACCACAAAACTCACAAAGCTGGAATTTTAAGGTAATGACGCCCTTGCCCACGCTCAACCTTGTCTAGTCAAATTCAGCGTTCCCGCGCTCTTGAGTGTCACATACGGCCTCGTGAAAATTTTAGCGGGTAAACTATTAACTCGGGAATCACGGAAAGATATTCATCGCCCAAGGTTTTAAATTCAGCTTTCATGCGCAGGTTTGTGAAGTTTTTAACTATTTTTCATCGTTTCAACTATTTTTGCATGGAGTAGAGTACAAAGCAGTGAAAATAATTAATAGGCAATCGTTCGATGAGCTGAACTGCACAGAACGCATGACCGCACCGGTTAGTCTGGTGCGCGTTGCTATTTATTTGCTTATAATCATAATCAACCGAGTCAAACAGGGACAGTCAGAGTTGCAAATTGGGAACTACATCTTTTTGCAAAAATTTTCAACAGAAAGTATTTTTTCCATCAAAGAAAAGAGTATTTCAACAAATGAAGATTTCTGAAGCTTTAATAAACTTAACAGTTCAACAGTATCTGTAAAATTAAAAAAAGAAAAAAATTAACGGAATCCGAAACATCCAGAAAGGAAGGTAAGGCGGAACGATCAATAACGAATGA